CCTGGACCCTACCTATTGATCAGTTCACGAAGATTTGCCGCACTCTTCTCTCACCCGTAAGTTTTGACAGTTTTGGGTGGTTTGTTTTGGCTCCCATTCGTTGCTATTTCTTTTACTCAGAAGCAAAATGATAGGGAGCAAAAAGTGAGGTTAGGGACCGTGCACTGATCTATTGACCCATCAACTCATGAACCGGGGACCAACGGCTTTACTTCCCATCCGAAGGAAGGCGTGATCAGAGATGTTATGCCCCGGCGGCGCCGACTGGGATTGTACTTCGTTTGTGCTGGAACCGAACCATGGACGTTGAGATTACGAGTCCTGTGTCTGGACCACTCGTTTGTCAACGCTTGGGAAAATGGAATGATTAATGGCGTAGAAGAGCTACCTCATGTGAGACGGTAATTTTTCATAAGTCGTGCTTATGAAATTCATATGTGTCGTTCATAATTCGAGCCTTATGAAATTCTTAAGTCTATTTGCCTCAGTGTTGGTGCTCAGCACGGAAAACAAGATCGACGGAAAAAACAAACCAAAGGAACAGATTCGAGAGAGAATGGCAGAGAATGGGAGCGTAGTACGATGCGCGAATGAGTCGTTCTAATTTCCCGCGCCTCGCCTAAGAACTAGGTTAACAGTGTTGTAATTGACCACTTTGTCAAGCAGTTTTGGCGTGACTTTCTACCAGCGATTCCATAAAAATGGACCAACTAATTTCTATTTTTTTATCAAACGCACAAATGATGGCTGCTTTTCTCGTGATTCTAGAAAAAAATCTCAAAATAATGTTTTATTACAAAGTTTGAGTGGTAGTAAACGTCATTTTAACTGCTCGAATGAAGTGGTTAATTGGATTCCTTTTTGCTTATGCTACGTTCTTGGACTCGACCAATGTTACCACTTAAAGTGTATTGATCACCGTGCGGAGTGATGGGAAACAGGTCTGTGGTATGGTTGAAATGTTGCAATGATTTCAAGTGTAATGAATTTTTGTTTTGTCAAACGTAGGATCGGAAATGTGAACTAAACGTTCTACACTCTGAAAAAATTTTCAAGTCCGAATTACGTGAAAACATAGGTGGTTTTCGTCCACCCAATTTTTCACGTAACTTTTGCCGGAATTCCGCGTAGTCGATCAAAATCCAGTTTCGATTATCTACGTGATTAGTCAGGTAAATAAGACCTGATTTCCACATACTGCTTACGTGAAATCGGGGTGAAAACTACTGAACAACTGGTAACTTTTACGTGACATACCGTTTTGTTTAAAATGCTTTTCACGTAATTTGTACGTGAATTTTGAATGATAATAATGGAATAATATAGAAGCAGTCAATATTATGCAATTTTATCGGGCAGATATAAAATCCACGTGTTAAACTTAATACTTATATCTACTCATAAAATTGTATATTATTGACTAATTGATTATTATGAGGTAGAAACGTGTATGAGTTTTTTTTTTTTCTGAAAAGCAGCAAGGTTTGCAGACCCAAAATGCTGATGCTACCGTATGAAATTATAAAACTAGAAAAATATAAAAGAATCAAATTACCGTCCAATATTTGCAGCAAACTGCTGGAAAATTTTGAATCTTTGAGGTGTTCTTGCACCACGCTCGGTGACGCCATATTGATTTTGTTTGCGTACCTTAAAGTCACGTAAATCCCGTTTTGCGGAAATATTGAAGTCCCAAACACACAAACACAAATACACTAAATCTGTTTACGTGAATATGCGGTCGATTTCACCAACATTTTTAGTGACATGACGTGCAATGCAGGTCAAAGTTACTAACGTCACGTAACATTTGAAATTTTCTAAATACAGATCAGTTACATTTACAGGATTTATTGATCTAGATAAAAATAATTTGTCCATAATAGATCAGACACGAACCAATTCATAACTTTTGCATGCGGGTTCATGCTAAATATTTCCCGCGAACAAGGAGCCAGATGTCAGTAGTGTGCTTTGGTCAGAAATGTTATTGTTTTTGCTATGGTCATTCATGTCGGTTTGTCGGTGTCTAAACTACCCATAAATGAAAATATGGCTAGGGTACCGAATATCAAATTCTGAGCAATGAGATATTTGAATGTTTTGAGCGATAAATCAATGAAATCTCGAAAATATCGTGTATAAAGCTATAATAAATGATAAATTTGATTAAAAAATAATGAATCTCAGACAATTCTAGGCCATTCATGTCGGTTTGTCGGTGATTTTATCGCAATTACGTATTTTGATGACTCGGTTTTCATTTCCAATAAAACATACTCTTGTGGAACAAGAATATAAGCAAACTTTATTAAATAAGGAGCACTCCTCGATTAATTCCCTTTATACTTAGATAAGATTTAGTTTTAGATTTTAGTTTAAGATTTTAATTGTTATACTGACATGCAGGTTTAAAAAAAATCTGTTTAAAATACTGAATTGCCAAGGCAGGAACAATGTAAAAACACTTAGATATATATCATAACAATTAAGGCTGGTAAGTTACTGTAGATGTGGGCCAAAATTAAATGTTTTGCTGATTTGGGCCAGATGTCATGCATGATTATTATTATCGTTATTATTATTTTTATGATGTTACCTAGTATGCTGTAATTTAAAACGGTCGTCGCACAAAGTATTAATAGAATCGAGTAAGCCGGGATCAAAAAGCCCGCGTGTCGTTTGGCTTCAAATGCCGCGTGAAATTTCGGGGAAATACAATAATAAGAATTATAGAAATGATGAAGCATTCAAAATTTTGAACGTTATGGGAGAGAAAGTTTAAAATTCTTTTGATTATTTGATCTTTGACAAATTTTAATCATTGTCCAATAAATTTGTGAATTTTAATCTCTGACAAATAAATTTGTGAATTTTAATCTTTGACAAATAAATTTGTGAATTTTAATCTTTGAAAAATAAAGTCTAAAAGCATTGCTTCGATAAAACAACCGTTCTTACACTATTAGATTAAAAATGATAACTTTCATCTCACAAATCAAATGAAAAGTCCGTAAAAATCATGAACCATTATGTAACCACTGTTTTAGTTTTCTTTTCTTTTAATAAAATGATCGAAAATAGTGGTCAAATCTTCCGAAAAATTAAAATAAAACAACTTGTTTAACGTTTTTTAAGTATTGAGAGTGACATCCAAACAAACATTGAAAACCGAATGATAGTTTATTCTATTAGTTGTGCGCAAACGCTTATAAAACTACTGTTTTAGGTAAATCTTTTTGGTGACTGCGCAGAAGACACCAAAAAGATTAAACGAAAAAATGAAACCGAGCGTACACATAAAAAAATTCTAAATTTTAACTATCGCGTGAAATATTCCTTCGTTTTACAAAGAGGCGAAATGCCGAAATTGAAACAATTGATTATCTGTCAAAGTCATTGAAAGGTCCTTTGTCTTTTGTCTCTCTTTATTAGTTTTTGTTTGTCTTGTCCCCTTCGTCTCGATGAGTCTCATCGTCGCCCACTGGTCACCCACCATAGCCGGTCGAACTCCAGACGAAACTAGAACCGCACTACCATTCATACTGGCGACAACGCTCTGACGAGACAACGAAACCTTATCCCCAAGCTCCTCCCCTGATCCTATCCTTCGACAATGTACCTCTCTAACCTCGAGTAAGCCGCGAGTATTCGGCCCAACTCCTACTAGACATAGAATTAAGTGAATTTTGTTACAAACAAAGAACAATGAACTATCGGCCCCGTAAAGCTAACGCGATTGAGCCTTCCAAATAAACAAACTAGTTAAAAAAAAGTCGTTGAAAAAGTTAATCCAATCGAGCAGAAGAACTGTCAAATGTTTGTGCGTTTCATAAAAAATAGAAATTAGTTGGTCCAGTTTTGTGAAATTTCTGGTAGAAAGTCACACCAAAACTGCTTGACAAAGTGGTCAATTCAGTCTCTTTAGTTGGCATAAACATCGAAATCGTTTACATTGCAAGTTTATGCGATATTGCGCATAAATTTACACGAAATATCGTGTAAGTTTTCGCCAAATCTAGCGTTAACTTCATGTGCGCTATATAGCGCAGAAATTAACATAAATTTTTCAAACTGTGTAGTGGTTAGCATTCATACCTCTTACGCCAAAGTCACGAGTTCAAAGCTCACCCTAGAACAAGCGACGAATGACTCAAGAGTGGTAAAGTGACTTTAATAATAATAATAATAATAATAATAATAATAATTATAAAAAAAAATAAACAAAAAAAAATTAAATAAACTAAAAACCCTAAAATTAAGGTTTTTTTGTTAAAAGCGTTTGCGCACAACTTATAGCATAAATAATACGCGCAATACGCAATATGCTTCATAAGCTTGAAATTTACATATTCAACTATCAATTAGCTTGGATTGTTTGTTTTTTTTTCCCCTCCATAAGTATTTCTGGTGTAATTAAATAGTCAATAAAGTGCAACTACTTATGCAGTAGCATGTGAAAATGGTCAAAAAATGACACAATATGGACAAGGCTGAATCTTTCGAAAAACATCATTCTTAAGTTGAAGATTTTTTAGCGAAATTTTTTTATAACTTTTCAATTAAAAAAGATCGATAATCTTCTGAACAACTTATTCAAACGTTGTGCCAGTCTAACTGAAACAAAATAAAATAAAACTTAAATGTATTTTCAATTAAAGATTTGATTAAAATTCATGGAAAAACTTTCCGGAAGACACTATTTATCTGAAATAAATTGTCTAGGCGCAAACCATATATTGCTCCCCATGCTTAAGGCATAAAGACAAATTCAAATCCTTAAAATACATTTTGAATGTTACAAATGACTATGTACCATCAAAAATGTCATGGAATCCATTCATATTGTTGTCCTGAATTATTTTCAAACACTGTCTAAATGGTTAGTCTGCCTTTTACGCAAAACATAAACAAAGTGCATGCAACGAGTTACTTATAACCGTTGTGTAGCAGTGGCGTATCTCTAGTAGCATTCCATAAGCAATTACCTTACCTCTAGAATGACACAATGCGTGCACTTCGTTCTGTACCTTCTTACCATACGCGCGTGTCTAGCGGCACCGTCAGCTAACAGTATACGGAAAAGAATCGTTCTCGAAGACCGTTACCATTACATCATCGTCGGAAGTGACCACGTGGCGCAAAGCATTGGCTTGTACCTGGCTAGCAGTTGCAAATCTAAAACGATCCTAGTGCTACAATCTAATCAATGTGATCAGATTCTCGAACCAGCTCACGCTCCAAATGGGCTGGGATTGCAAATTTCCAATACGGTCGCCGAATGCGCTCATCGAATGGGATACAAGTTTACGGATCCACTTCGCCATGGACAACGGGTCGGCATTTGTTTCAAGAACCGGACCCGTGGTTTGGATACTACGGGACAGCACACACTGTGGGCCGTCGATCCCAATCTGCAACTGTTGAGCGGGGCGGCAGTTGCTCGTCTATTGTATAATCATGGTATGAATAGCACGTTGATGCAGTTTCCTACAAATAGCTGTTTACCATCAAAATTTTTTCAGCTTCGTCTTCGGTGTTGGGTGTCGAGCTGGAGCTGGATGGCTCGAAGCAGTGCATTTTTGCCGAGGAAGAAGTGCTTATCGCCGGTAGATGTATGAATGATTACAAACACTTGAGCAGAGGGTCGATAGTACCCGAAGGGCCTTTGGAGAATTGTTTGCGAGAGCTGTCGTTGGATGTTAGCTTGGGTAGTCCAGTTATGGTGCCAATTTTTCACACGAAAGTAAACGTGACTCTGAAGCAAAGCCCAATGTTGCTTGGAACGGAACTATACTTGAGAACACCGGAATGCGAAGAGGCAGACGGTGCGAAGCCAAACGCAAGGCTGCGGATGGTCATGGGAAACGCCAATATGGATCATCACGTTTGGGTTGGATTTGTTCCGTCGCTTATTTGGGACGATCCCAACTACAATCCGGACCACGAGGAAACGGTTAGGATGTTGGCTTATGTTTTGAAAACAGCCAGTGCCGTTACGGAGAGTGAGGCTTTCAAACATTTGAATCTTACGGCGCTTGATTATCGGATTCCCGAGTGTATGAAGTACGTGGGCAGTGGGCAGTATTGGACTTGTTTCCTGGATGTCAAGCTGAAGCGGTTCCACTCGGTTGGTCCATTGTGATGTATGGTTTGACTCAAATTATAATCATGATTATTTTATTCAAATAGTTGACAACCACCGGAAGTCACAAAATAAGTTTGTTGGATAGAGAGTTTCGACTGAAAGGAGTGAAATCTTTGCGAGTTCTGCCGTTTGGACTGACGGCACCATTTCTGGATCGTCAATGGAGAAATGTTTTCCCTATGGCGGGGGAGAAATCGGTTGAATCATCATCGACGACCGATCATCCTTTGACGGCAAATAGTTTAGCAAGAAGACTAGATTCTTTGACACATTTAATGGGTTTAGTGAATGTTCTGGTAAAAACTGTGTAGAGTTTCAAACTGTACAGGCTTTCATCATGTTGCTTAAAATAAACCTTCAATATTTTACCATTTCTCTTGTTTTCTAATCTCAATTTCGACTGAAGGTGACTTACAAATTATGGTTCATTCTAACGATAAAAACATAATAATTCTCCATAATGAGGGTGCGAAGTTGCGTTTTTGGAGTGTCGAAATTCGTTTGTTATAAATCACAAGTTGCTGCTATAATATCATTTCGCATCTATCAAACACCTGCAAGAGCGGGAGACCCCCGTTGAGGTCACACCGCGAACGAAAACTTCAATCTTTGCAGCTACCTTCACGGGTTAATGAAGGTGATACTTGGGAAACGAATTTCTCACCATTATATGCAAACAAATCATACGGTTGACGCAAAGCTGCGTTGACTCGATGTTTAAAAACAAAACACGCCAACCGGCTCGGAGTGTAGCCGAAAAAAGAAACTGAATTTAAGCCAAACAAAACAAAACATAACTAACAACCAGGGCATGCATAGTCGCCGCATAAAACATGCATTCATAATTGGTTGTGCCAAGGTGTGAAATGTTGGCCCAATATATTTTTTTTTCGTTTATGTCCATCTAAATGATGTCCATGTTCCATGCCGTGTTTAATGGGCGAACGTGACGGACGCCAAAAAAAAAATCATAGCAAATAATGCGTGAGGGTGCCGCGAATGCATTCATGCGTCCCAAAACGGGTGGGTAAGTGTAGCAAAGAAAAGCCCACCCGCAATCATGATAGGGTGGTTCAAATTATGGATTTGGCAAAATTGGCATAAACACCGGAATTGTTAAAAATTGTGTATGGAATATCGTCGATTTACATACGACATGTAGTGGTGTGTTGAGGACAACTTTGTCAAATCTACTGCACACTACTTGTGCGCTAGAAACGGCGTGAGATTGCAACCAAATGAGCTCACGTTTTTGAAGAATGATCAGGACCTAATTTGAAATTGACTGAGCCGTGTGCAGCAAAATCGAAAATTTAAACCACCCTAATATGTTGCGGCGATCCACAACTGCAATCCAAGCAAGTGCTCAACTATTGAATTAACAAGAAAGGCTTGGTGGGCAAGGTTGCACCTATGTTTTTGTTGGCTTACAATCTCAGTTTACTACATTACCAGCTAAAATAAGCCTAGTGGTGTGGCCTGCAAATAGATCATATATCGAAGGCACGTAATGGAACAGTTGCATTCTGATGCGATGCCAGCTTTGGTAGTTTATTGGTACTCACGACAATGACTACAAGGGTACTTGACAAGAACCCTTCGTGCGGGCGAGAAATAATGATGAAATCATTAGATTACATCATATGACGTTGATTAGAATACATGTGGACGTTAGGTTAAAATTGATTTATTGCAGAATCTTGAACACTGTTTGCAGGTACCTAATGTGATGTTTACACGCTGATTCACTTGCGTTAGTGTACTAGAACTGTAGCATAATGTAAACAGGGCGGCAGCATCTACCAGCATGAGATTTCAGTAACAGTGGTTGAGCTGGTTGAGCTAGTGAACTAGCATAAATGTAAACAGCGCATAACTGATCATCTTGGATTCATGTGTTAGATATGCAGACACTTGCGTGTCATCTGGGAGCTAACGAGGCTGCCCAATAAGTTTTGTTCACAAATTACGTTTTGCAAGAAGGAGAGAGGGAAATGTAGAAAAGTCTTACATTTTGCTACACATTATTAATGTGCGGGTGCGGAAAAGGGTGTGTTCAGTAGAGTTACACGTAACATACAGATTTCACATTTCATTTTTAACAATCAACTCAAAAAGCTTCAGATCATTGCTTCAAATGTAAAATAAAAAAAAAACATCAATAATAAACTGATAAAAAAAAACATATTAAGACTACCAAAAGTGACAACAAGAACTTTAGAAAGATGAAAAAGAGCTATTTTCAAACATAACAAAACCATTTTCCCAAAACCACACTATCGTTAAACCTCTACTGCCCAAGTCGAATGTCAGATTGTTTACAAACTTAGTTTTCTCGACCGAGCTCGGCTGTGCAAATCTTGGCAAAACAAAAGTTTCACTGAGGTCTCTGCAAAAGTGACATTTGATTGCTGAGTCTCGGATAATGCTTAGCTGAATCTCAGCAAACAAATGAAATGTTTGCTGAGATCTCAGTAACACTTCTTTTGCCGTGCTAAGTGTGTAACAAATGTTGCGCCAATAGACTTCTCTGACGTTTGTGAAATGCACAAGTATTAGTGCAGAACTCGTCAAAACGTCAGAGAAGTCTATGGTTGGAAAGACACAAATTACATGAACATTTGGATTAAATCGGATACAACATCATATATAGCTATATATTGTGTATAGCTGGAACATGTTCCGGTGAGCATGGGTTACGAGAGTGGAGGCTACCTGTAACTTATCAAGTCCATCATGTGGCACCTCGAATCACAGGAAAGTTCATCAAAACTCAATTGATGGTCATACCGAGTGCCAAAGAACACAATGTTCACTTCCGGACATGTTACGGGTACCCCCGGGGAAGTAGCCAATATCTGGCTTGACCAAAGCCCACCATGCGACATCGCAAATCACATTAGAATTCAAAAACAAGTTCATTGAAAGTCATACTTAGTGACCTCATCCAGTAGACTGATGCAAAATCTGAGATGTTCGCTCCACAGTGCTCAAGTGGTTCCAAATCGGGTTTAGATTAGCCTCCCAAGGTTTGAACTGATTTGGTAAGAAACTGACTGGGCACAAACCATTTGAAGTTTATATGGGAATTACTATGGGGAAACTAAACTTTTTCTTCGTAGTCTTCTAACCTTCTTCCATATTGTACCGTTAAAAATTTCTATAGCTATTCTTATGGAAAATTTTCTCAGCTAAAACTTTGCGCAATATTGTTTTTCAGCCAAACATTGATAATCTTATGGCATGATCAAGCAACTGTTTTGTGGGCAACACTGAATTTCCAAGTAACAATTCAAGCTGAACAGTGAGAACAAAATCTGATTATTGGTTGATTTAAGGTGTACAAAGCTGATTAACATCAGGCTGAATATATAGTAAGCTGATCTAAAGATTGAATTTAAAGCATTCCGCTAACAACCCATTTTCATTACTTCATTATGATGGCTACCAAGCCTTTGGGATATTCCTTATTAAAGAGTTTTATGGATTTTTCTCCTTTACTTAAATCTTTGGTTTTTATTAGTTAGGTAGGTTCCGATGCAACACATTGTAGTTTAATTGTTATACCTGTGATCTTGACTTTTATACCTAGGGGATGAGTACTTAAGGGGGTTAGATTTTGATAAGTTCTTTAGTGGGAATGACACTGATGAAGACTGCACATTGTAGTCGAAATCCGTATTTGTCATGGATACCAAAATGAATTAAGTGGAATTAAATGGAACATAACCTTTTTTTGCTGTTTTATGTAAATCCAATTAGCCAGCAAGAAAAATTTAAAGCAGTTCCATATAAATGCATGAGATTTGAAGCGGTCTTCCATTATTATTTTTGAAATAAAACTAAAAAGCTGAACAAGGGTTGAAAACACTGTTAACTGTAAACTGTAAACCTATCATTATCTTCCCTAGCTGGTTGAGTTCGGGGTTTATAAGGCACGATCATGAAGCGATCGGATCTAAAGGAGATAATCCCAGTCGGCGCCGCCGGGATGTTCTGAGGCATAACATCTCTGATCACGCCTTCCTTCGGATGGGAAGTAAAGCCGTTGGTCCCCGGTTCATGAGTTGATGGGTCGATAGGTAGGGTCCAGGTGTGGGAGCTGCCTCTCTGTGGCGTCGGTAGCATTGGTGCTCAGCACGGAAAACAAGATCGACGGAAAACAAATAAAAAGGAAAAAAAAAAACAAGTAAATATGATCATACATTTAACTATCTTATTTTATTTTATTGAAATTATTCAGACATTGCAGTTAACTCCACAAGCTCGGGTAAGGGACTTGTGGTAACGGTATGCTTACACTTTTTCTCATACTCAAATTCAGAACCAGATTCTATAAACTCTATCCAAAGCCACGATTTGACAGAAAATGTGGAAACTTTAATTGAATCTAGTTCAGATTCAAAGGATCCATTGAAGTCTGCACGGCGAATGAGAACGACTCAAATTTGAGTTTAGTTCACTCATAATCGCCAAAAGTGCAGGAACTCAGCGATGAGTAAATTTGCCTCATGTTTTCCCAGGTTTTTCCAGGATTTTCCAGGGAAAAAATCCCGAATTTGAGAAAAGTAAAGATTGGATTCACTCAGTCTATTGGTACTACTCCGAAACTGAATAAAATTTTCGTCACTTTCCTCATTTTCCGGCAGATTTTTTAGGTTTTCCACAGGAAACCATGAGACAAATTTAACTCATCGCTGAGTTCCTGCACTTTTGGCGATTATGAGTGAACTAAACTCAAATTTGAGTCGTTCTCATTCGCCGTGTGGATTACCGAGATGAAGCAATCGGTTAAGTTGTGTGAGTAAAATCCTTGTACGATACAAGCAATTAGTGACGTCACTACTTGCTTCTTCTTTTTTTCTTTCTTATTTCCTTTATTTAACGTCGGTCTCTGTTCCGCAATCTAGTGCCAATCACCGACGGACATCGATTGCCATCCATTGACGGCAATCGAATGTGCAGGAAGGCAGCTTCCACACCTGCGTAGGATATCGCATCCATTCACAACACACATGGGCCAGGACCAACGGCTTTTCTTCCCTTCCGAAGGAAGACGTCACCAGAGATATTTATGCCTCAGAAAAATCCCACCGACCTCGGCTGGGATTGAACCCAGACCCATTGGGGTGTTAGAAAGCAGTCACGCTTACCACTACACCATCGGCGCCGGCTTCGTCACTACTTGCGATTACGT